TCACAGGGAGGCCCCACTGGGTCATGGGACTTGTCCCCTTGAGTCTGAGACATGGATTGGGAATACAAATGACCCTGTGAGGCAGGTGCCAATTTTTGGGCACTGCTGGAAATCAGGGGAGCAGGCCAGAAGCAGTTAAGCTTGGCCAAGCCCTTTGGGTAGTAATAACTTTCTTGAAATGGCAGAAATGCCAGGGGGCTGGGGCACAGCTAAGGGTTTTGTTTTCACAGGTGGTTTGGGAAACTCCCAGGTGCCTGGCCCTTGGGTGTACTTCCGGCAGGACTGAAGAGCCAGCTTCCCTGGGCCTCTCGGCTGCTCCCTGGTGGTGCCCCAGCTGCTTCTCCCAGGGGGAATCTCAGACTCCTGAATCCCCTCCCCAGCCCACCTGAGAGAGCCCAGCCCTCTCACACACCTGCCTTCCCTCACACACCATCCAGGCTGCCCTCTCTACCTTCAGCACAGGCGCCTTGCTCTATCATTTCACCAGTTAACAAACACTTCCTTGGAGATGATACTCCCAAGATTTCATAATTTCAATAAGTAACAGAACTTCTGAAGTAGAAAAAGCCAGAAACTGGCACTCCAGCTAAAGTGACAGACAGTATATGGGACTCTTCGCTACTCACAGTGGGTGACCTCATTTTCACAATAGCCCAGAGGAGACGCACACTTACAACCCACCCACCCCCACCCTCCACCCCGGGGAGCAGGGCCAAGCTGACGGAGCTGCTGAGTGGCTTACCTGGGTCTCCAGCCTGGGGCCTCAGGCTCTGTGACTCAGGGCCCAGTGGGTCATGAAATCAATTGAGTACCAAATAGCATAAAGAACAAAATACCTGAGTAGGGGAAAGGATTAAGCAAAGAACCATGTTTCTTTCTATGTGCATGTATATCCACATGTATACACATCACATGCAGGGGACTGTTTGGACACCTAGGCCACATGTCTACCACGTCCCCCAAGGCTCAGGCCTGTTGTCACAGACACAGCCCATCCTCTTGGAGAAGTCCCTGCTGAGGTTCAGGGATCCACCATCCTGGAGCACTTATGTGGATTATTGGAGGGTTTTCATTCTCTGTCACCAAAAGTGGGTCTGATGAATCTGCTTCTGCACACCTACCCTTCATTGTCCCCCCCCCCCAACTCCCGATTCTAAGACCTGCCCATCTGGACCCAACCCCAAAGGACCAGTCACGTTGTTTGGCACTCTCGGGAGAACAATGATGTCTGTGCACTCATCATTGTTTGTGGGGGCTTTGGAAACCCCCAGAAATGGATTCTGGAATCCATTTCCATTGGTGCAGATTAGCATGTGTTTTAAAACCCACCTGTGCACTGAAACATCCACATCATTTTTCTGTTCAGAGTGTCCTTTGAGCAGAACTCTAGAAAGCAGATTTTCAGACTAATTTTTATCGGACCAAAGTATTTGTGGGCACACAACCGTATATGCATGTCTGTCTACCACAACTTCATTGCGACATTTCCTGGAAGAACCAGCAACCTAAGTTCTCTTTTTCCATATCCTTCATCAGTCCCGTGCCACATGCTCTGCTAAGTGCTCCGTGTGTGTGCTGGGAACCCCCTGCGTGGCCATTGTGGGGTGTGCCTGCTTGTCCCGGCACTGCTGGGGAGGTGGGCCAGGACCCATCCTGAAAACGCAACGGTGGGGAGGTGGACACGTCCTTGGAAACAAGGCCTCCGGTACCCTCCCACACACACTCGGTCCCAGGCAGCCAGAGAGAGGGCACGGGCACTCAAGGTCCCTGGGACTCCCCTCTTTGCTGCCATGGGCAGCTCTGTCCCTTTTCTCATTCTCTTCAGGTTCTTGGCCTTTCCTTCCCTCCCCACGTGGTCCTCACCCCTACTTCTCCATCCAGCCTGATCACATTGACGGTGTTCGGGGCTAACCTGTTGGCTGACTCCGGGTTTTCGGGTGATTCCTATGGGGCAGGACTGGGAGTGATGTGAATTTGAGTCTAGTTCAAAAGGTCATTAAAAGTTTTCATCTCTATCAGCATAACTGCGGTGTAATAAAACGTGACTCTTTGAAGTGTAATTTGGTCAGTGTTGGCGTGTGTGTGCACCTGCAACATTGGAACTAAATGAGCAGAGTCGAGAAGCCACAGGTGCTGTGGGAGGGCTGCTGGGCCCGCACTGTCATGTACATGCACGATGTTTATTTTTCATCTCATGGAGGAAGTTAAAAGTCCCAAGTGACCACTACCCCCATTAACTAATTAATTAGAAATAAGAGCAAATGTACAGGATGGACAGCTCTCTCCTCAGAGACCTGTTTGAAATTCTCTGGCTCTGGCTCCACAGCATGGAGAACCTCACTTTCCCCATTTCCAGAGGGGGCAGGAACTTAGTACGAGTATGTGACAGCCTCTGTCAAGGACTGTTCAAGTTTCTCAGTGATCTGGAGAAGGACTATTCTGGCAGTGCCCACTATGGAAATAATTGCTAGGAAAAATTAAGATAGGTGTGACTTTGCTGCCAGCTTTTCAGCAAGACCCCCATTACGTGTGGTGGCAAGTGGCCATGCGAATTGGGTCCTCAAGTTTAGGGGATAAAAAGTGAGAGTTTTCTTTGTCAGCGAAATATGAAGAGAGGTAAAAACCCTGTGCGCAAGCAAGAAATGTGTCAGGCCCTTAGCCTCACACAGCATGTCTGTGATGTCTTTTAAACATCCTGTCACTGAAATACTGAGATGCACTGAGTTCTTTTGTAAAGAAAAGGCTTGTTGTTTTTTCTGCTCTTAGAGGGGAGGGGAGCCTGGGCTGTGCTTCCTGGATGCCATGTTGGCCCTCAGGGGTCAGAAGACTAGATCTCTTATTAATCGTGACAATAGACCCTTTTTAACAGTAAGAGAAGTGGCAATACTGACTTCATGTTGGTGTGAAGGAGCCTTCACTTGGGGCTCCTGGACCTTCACCCAGTGTGGTGGGACCACCCCACCTTCCGCCAGCCTGGGGGGTCTGTCTTTACCAGGAAATAGGCCCTTGTTTAGGCCTTGTTATCTCTGTCTGTGTAGATTGGGAGAGGAGAGCACGGGAAGAGGAAATAAGAGGCTGAACCCTCCATTTCAAAATCAGATCTAAAAAATATAGCCTCCCCAGGTGTTAGAGTGCAGAGAGGTACAGTGTGGGCACGTCACACACACCTAGGCGGTCAGGTCAGAGCACTTGGAAAGCCGACGGAGCTCTCCATCACCCCACCAAAAGCTGGTGCAAGCCTTCCAGTGTGCAGGTGTGAGAGGGGATTGCTCTTCCCCAGGGGGCATCCCACCAGGCCACACCGACTTGCCGGTCCTTCTCCTGACCTTGGGGAGCTGGCCCCCACTTTCACCAAGCTCTCAAGATATGGCCAGCGGTATCTGAGGTGTTTAGGTTACCGTGATAGGGAGAAAACGGGGTGGGGGGGGGAGGGGGTGGCGTCTAAGTGTGCTGGTCAGGTGCTCTCCAGGGCTCAGCCTGTGGTACTCGAACCAGAGTGTAGGAGCAGGGGTCTGGTGGTTCTGGTGGCTTCTGATTAGTGTAATGGGACGAGCTGGCTTGGAGCTCTGTTCAGTTGTCTTTTTTGTGAGACCGTTTTAGGGGCTGCCCTTCATGGTCTGTTCATTTCTATTGGCTGTATAGGAAAGAACATTCTGTGGAAGATGGAAAGATTGCCAAGACCAGTGCAGTCCAACCTCTTCCCATTTCTTGTGATGCTCTGAGGCTATTAGCTCATTTCCATTCGCCTCTGAAATTCCTTTGTAGATGTAAATTCATTGGCATCCTGTCCTTAGAAGTTCAAAGGGCTCGGCTGCCCACAAGCAAAAAGCAGCACCACCAGATCCCCGGAGTTAACACCCAGTCTTGGAGAGGATTGTAGCCCAGGGGAAGGATTCTTCCCAGAAGATTTGTTTCTTCATACTTACTTGTTTGTGTACAAATCTATTTATAGTAGATTAAAGGAGAGATCCGGCCAGCAGTGGGTAATGATATAATTTACAGGGGCCCCAGTCAGAATGTTGAAATTGCTTACATTATCCCATTGCCACAAATGGATTACTATGCAGGGTCTCCTTTTTTCAAAGACAACGAAAAACAGAGGGAAGGAAGGAAGTTAGGTGCTTGTAATCACTTCCATGTATGGCTGATGTTGAGCCAGGAATGGAATAGAAAGTGGTGAACTCCTCACTGGGGATAATTGAGAGGGCTTTGAGGCATTGGCCTGCAACTAGATTCTGAAAACCAAATTCGGGTAGACTCCAGCTAAAGAATGTGCCAGAAGTGCCAAGAGCTGGCTGGGGCTCTGCCTGCATCAGCAGAGCTAGCTAGTGTTGGGACTAGACCCCCATATTGTCTGTAGGGGCTGGAGCTCCTGGCAAGTGCGTTCTGGTAAACCTTTAGTCAAGTGGATCTGGACTGAACGACGCCCACATTTAGCTTGTTCATTGGCGGCAGGCTGCACAGACCTGCGGCACAGTGCCCTGTTCTCCTTCCTGTCCCCGGGCGCCCTCCCCAAATGCTGCAGAGGTGAGCTGTGCATCTTTTCGGGAATGTGGAGAGCAGTGTCTTCCTGAATTTACCGTGTTTATTGTTAACAGTCAGCAGCATTGAACCAGATTGGTTATTGCAGGAAATTAAGCAGTTGCGGTTTTAAAGGGAACCTTCACTGGCTGCACGCTGGAGGACAGAGCAGTCACCTGGCTGGGATGTGCACTTCATTTCCCACTTATGTTTTGCATTTATCTGTTTTGTCTTGCAGAATTGCACTTAAAAACATCAAAACACCTAACTAAAACGTGTATTTTGCTCTCCTAAAATTGACAGCCTTCCAGTGAGGGACATGGTTCCTTTCTTTGCAGAAGAAATTAAAATGAGATTTGGAACGAAGTATCATTAATATTCTTGAGAGTGTAACTTTTGCTAATACAAATTCTGTCATTAAGATGGGCTAAGGAAACCCACCAGCTTGTTGCTTACTGGATTTTCTCTCCTTCCTTAAGGTTCGCCATCGGTGGTGTGAACTCATCATAAAGCATAAATACACAAAAGCATACAAAGATGTGGAGAGATTCCTCCAGGAGGATCAGGTAAGTTTCATTTTTCAGCAGATGGGAATTCTTTTAATGCTGTCTCCTGACTGTCCAGTGCATTTACTAACACAGGGACCCAGGTCGTTAACATCTTCTTCATCACAAATACTTAAGCATTTTCCAAAGATTTTTAAGAAGTAGGTAGGAGCTTACCTAACACATTTTGGAGCTGATTCCCCGTCTCCCCCCACTTTGTCTCTCTAAAGCATGAATTACACCTCTTAAAAGCTTTGGTGGTTTGACCCAGCTGTGGACCACTGTCATTACTAAATGACACACATGCAGACCTCACAGCATCCCCAAATCTCAGGTCAGGCTGTGGCTTAGCTGTCACGGTGTGTGTTCGTGTCTTTAGCGGCTCTAATTTAAAGTATGCGTGGACATGAGACTAGTCAGGGAGAGCCGGCCTGGCTAGGACAGTCTGGTCTATACCTGCACCAGCCACACCCTGCCACACCTCACTGTTCACCAGGGGAAGGCAGTCACCTTCCAAGGAGCCTGCAGGAAACATGTATGCGCATGAACGTGTTGGGGGGTGTCTGCCTTGCGTCCTCTGCACCACCCACGTCTGCCCCGCACGGCCGTGCATGGTGATGTGTGTTCTGTGGGTTCTGTCAGCTGCTGGAAGGCAGACCGCAGCTGGTTGCTGTTAGCGTGACCATTGTGAGCGAGCTTTCCGCCGGGTACTGTGGGCTGAGAGAATGGAGCCATGCTTCAGTGGGGGTGGGGCAAACAAAGGGACTTTTGATAGGGCCTGAGTATGGGGGGCAGCCGGCAAGTAAGGGCTCGTTCTTCCCACAAAGAAAAGTACATGACTTTGTACTAGGAGAAATGTCACATTTGCACAGTTGGAGCAGAGGTGTTTGGAAACACAGACAACAAAGACAAAATATAAGAGCAACTTAAGGTCTGTTCTGAAAACCAGAAGTAACTCCTTTTTAGAGCCAAGACCGTTGCCAAATAAGGATGACCATAACTCAGCTTTTTAAGGAAAGGATTTTTGAGCCCCATACTACCAAATTTTTATCTTGTGCTGAAAGGATCTTTTGAGATCCGCCCTCTAATTTGCTCCAACAGAATGTAACCTGTGGCATAAGTAAGCTTGGAATCAGAGAAGAGGCAGAACCAAAGGGTTCTTTTGGTCTTCCAGAACCTAACTGGCTGTTTGTAAAACTGTAGGAAAAATGCAGATGTGCATGTCTGTGGACCATTGTCAGTACCAAATGACTCACAGCATCCCCAAGTCTTGGGTCAGGCCGTGGCTTAGCTGTCACAGTATGTGTCCATGTCTTCAGTGGCTCTCATTTAAAGTATGTGTGGAGAACATTGTTTTGGGAACTGAAGAGGCGGTGTTTGTTGCCACGGCAGGGATGGTTGAGGGGCTCTGTCGGGCTGGGCTGACGCAGCGGACATATTTCCCTGGGTGGGGTGACGTTTTCCCTGCTGTGGTGCCATGTGACGTGCTGGTCTTCATTCTCCAGCCGCACCTCAGGGCGTACTTCCCTGAGAGAGGTCCTGCAACCCTGTGACACGCACACCACGCCTCGGAGGCCACTTTCAGCCACGCACGTTTCCGTGGTGGGCATTGTGGGGACCTCCCTGACTCTCCCTGGTGATCCCGTCACAGTCATCCCTGGAGAAATGCTCGTGCGTCATTCTGTCACCGATTAGATTGCCACCACAGTCCTGTTGATGGAATTGATTGTTAAGAATTCCAGGGGGCTTCAGTGTGAACAAGAAAGTGAAGGGATCGAAAACTGTTGGCTTCAGGAGGACAGCCACTCGGCCGTCTTCCCTAGGGTCTTTGTAGTTTCCACACGGGCAAGTGTGTGTTCCAGCAGCGCAGACCGTGTGCGTGTGGACGTGTCATTTCTTTCCCTTCTGTGCTCTGTGCCCCACAGGCCATGGGCATCTACCTCTACGGGGAGCTGATGGTGAGCGAGGACTCCCGGCAGCAGCAGGTCGCCCGCCGCTGTTTCGAGCTGACCAAGGAGCAGATGGACAGATCCTCAGCCCAGGTGGTGGCCGAGATGTTATTCTGAAGAGGTGATTCTCTCTCTTCCGTTTCTCCACTGTTCGGTTCTAACCAGAGATTCCTCGTAGGAGCCACGTGAGTCGATAAGGAGGCACTGAGCCACGGTCCTCCACTCCTCAGTGGCTGGTGGCCTGGGAGTGCAGGCAGAACTCACGCCAGGCTGGCCAGGTTGGCCCCAGGAGCAGAGGCTGCCCACCCCGGCGGAATCACTTCCCTGGGCACTGCTTTGGCCACTTTAGGTTTTGTTACTTGTAGGGACAAAAACACAGGAGAGCATTTGGAATAGGTTTGGACAGTGGAAGCACTGATCCAGTCTTCTGGTGAGGGCTCACACGGGAGCACGTTGCTGGGTTACCTCGAACCCTGAGCTCCGTGCAGGCGTCTGGGTCCATCCCCAGCCCACCATCTGTATGAGAACATGAGGGGTCTGACCAACTTGAGGGCCTCCTGCCAAGGTGTGCCATGTGTTCCTCGACCCCGCTGTGCCTGGTTTATTTCTCACCTCACGTTGGAGTGGAATCTCCTCCTGGTCTACGCTGCAGTGCAAGTCCTAAGTTATTTAAGCTGCTTCCTGTTAATTGTCTTGGAATTGACCTATTAGATGTACATTCTAGGAGTGTTTAACTGTGGGTTTCTGCATTTCACAAGTCATGTAGCAGGGGTATGTGCAGCTTTGTTAAGTGCAGCTGTGGGGCTGTGGGTGTATTGTCATTTGTTACCTTCTCAGTGTTTCTTCACGGTTTCACATGATGTAATGGGGCCCGTCTAATTCTGTCTTTTTTTTTAATTTCACATCAGATCTCAAGCATTTTTCATGTTCTACAGCTTATCGACAGGTAGAATTCTTAATGGTTATTTAATATTTTATGTTGGTATTCTTAACCCAGTGTCAGATTTTGTTTGCTTCTGATGTTTTGCTGTATATTAAGACCATTTCTAACATGTGTTAGTGTCTTAGTTATTTGAAAGAACTGTGATATGAAGGGGAGAAAAGGGATTTTTAAGTAGAATCCTCTTTTTCCATAAGAGTGCAGGAACCACATTTCCCAGGAAACAGAGTAGTGGAAATGATTGCCATGGCTGTGCGTCCTGTATAGCGGGACCCAGACCCTTTCCTTGGTGGCTTCGGGTCCTTCAGGGCCGGGCCAGTTGAGAGGGACCGGTTCCCTTGTGGTGGGCCCCCTCTAGTAAGAGTATAGATCATATTTCTCTTTAGATTTTTGGTTTCATGGAGAGTTTTGGGGTTCTTGAAGACTGAAACACAGTGGGGCGGGCTGTTCGGCCCACTGTCCCCGTTCCAGCTTGTGGAGAACCACAGCGGGCACCATGGCTCTCCGTTCCTCGTCGTGAGTTTTCGGGGAGGTGGTCACGAGTCTGCTCCTTCCTGGGAACTCTTCCCGTTCCTGCCCCTTGTGGGTGAATGTTGGGGCCCCGTGCGTGCCCCGCCCCTCGGCCGTCCCTCAGCGACGACGGCACCTGCCAGCCCCGCGGATGCAGACGGCAAACCCCGCAGGGGCAGCCGCTCGATGCCTTTTTAATTTTGTGCTCCAAGGCTGCACAGAGCCCTTTCGATTTAAGACACTGGGCCTCTGGGACGCCAGGTAAACGCGCAACAAGGCGAAGTCAAGGCCACGCGGTAGCGGGCGGAGCGGTGTCGGCGCCTGGTGCGTGAGGAAGCCAGCGCGTGCGGTGCGGGCGGTGAGCAGGCGCGGCGCTGCTCCGAGTGCTCTGGCTGCTTGGGTTCCTGGCATGCTGATTTGTGACTTCAGATTAAAATCACATTGCCAGGGATTACCACGCAACCACGACCTTGGCTGCTCCTCCGGAAGCCATAGTTCTCTCTCTCTGCAGTTCGGAGAACACGCTCATCTTGTAGCTCTTCTCCAGAAACGGAAGAAGCCGACGGCTGTGGAAGATGCTCGCCGGCCCCCCCCCCAGTGTGCCCAGCCGACGACCTCTCTGACGAGGTGCAGAGCTTAGCTGATTGGTGAACAGTGACTGGTTTCCGCTTTGTTCACAGTGGCTAAGTTCTGCACCTGAAGAGAAGGTGAGATGGGGACAGTTAAGTTGGAGCTGCTGGGGCAGAGGCCGCCGCCGGGTGGTCCGCTCAGGCGCCGGGCGCCGCTCCGGACGAGGCGACGCCCGCGTGGCTCCGAGGATGCACTTTCTCCTGTCGTGAATGCACGAGTGTACCGAAAGTCTGCGGAAATATCAGTCCACTGATTAGACACCTGTCTGAACGGTCAAATGTATTGAAAGCTGCAAAAATTCTTCTTACATACAAACTAAAGCTAAATGCGCCGGCAAAAAGTCCAGACAAAACTGTCAGCAGTTGGTTGCATGTGAGTAGGGCTGTTGCTTTCAGAGGAGACCCCTGGTTGTGGTCTCCCCCTCCTCCCGAGCATGGTAACCTCTCTTTTGTGTTCGCAGCCCCGCGGGCTGGCGCAGGAGCTCCCAGCTGAGGCACTGCTTCCGGGCTGTCGATTGGACCCGCCCTCCGGTGCCTACTGAGCTGATATCAGTTCTCATTTTACACACTGGCTCAGTTCAGCAGGAACAGGAGTCGAGCCCTAGAGCAAAAAGCCTTCCTGTGTGTAAGTGCCCGGAGGCTCCGGAGCTGGGACTGCGCTCACCGAAGACCGCGCGCCTGGACCCCCGGCAGCGGCGACGCCCGTCTGTATGTGGCCCTGGGGTGTGGATGTTGGTGGCATCGTAGTGATATGTTGACACGCAGGGGACGAGGGGACGGGCTTCCGCTCCTAAAGGCAGAACGCGGTTAGCGCTTCACGGGACCCTGGCCACGCTGCCTCCTTGTGCGCTGGGTTCAGGCTGCGGAAGCAGGTGCAAAGAATGGGGCCCGGGTTACGGTCGCTGGCTTTCACAGCCGTGTGTGAGCAGTGCGGCTGTGAACCCCACTGTGGGGTCGTGAGGTGCGGCGGGTCTCATCCCATCCTCTCAGTCTTGTCTCCAAAGTGGAGAGCGAAGGCACGCAGCGGTACTGGTTTATAAGAATTTCTCCGTTGTTACCAGGCTGTAAATTTTATTGCTGTTTCCTTTGCAGGAAAGATCACAGCGAGATTCTTTTTCATGCATCTACTCCTAGCCCTGGTGGGACCAGGATCGCATTGACCCTGGACATCAAAGGAAGGGTGTTGGGGCTGCTAAAGCCATCAGCCAGCAGTGTCCAGGCCTTGGTGCTTCTCTTTCCAGAGGCTGCTGTCCCTGGAGTTCACGGACCGCGTGGTGCCTTTGTCCCCTGCCCTGAACTTGCCACCCCAAGACACGGAATCTAAATTGGATCTCTTCTGTGAGGTCAAGGCAGTTCTTTCACACAAACGATGAAAGCTGTCTGAGAAAAAAATCAGAAAAACTGCTGAACTTGTTGCATGGATCCTCTCAGCATATGGCTGCACTGGATGTTTTTTAGAATTCCAGGAAGTCAGAGATTCTGTATACTGGGATCAGTGAACACCATTTGGTATTCTTCTCTGGGTCATTTCAGAAAGATCCTACAGGATTGTCTTGATCGCTAGGTCTTGTTCTTTAGCTATTTCTGAAAGGGCAGGGTAAGAATCCAAGATGTGTTCATAATAAAACATGATTGCTATTTTTGTATTCCTGCGTGCTTCTGAATTTCATACTTTTTATTATTTTTTAATACTGTTTAAAAAGAAAAATGACGTTACCCCAGGGGTATTCTCTGCAACCTGATACCGTCCCTCCTGTCCACCGGTTGGTCTGTCACCCTCCCAGGTGGCCATGGGAGCGTGAAGGGTATGCTCCTGCTCTGATGGCGCACACGTGCGCACACGCACACGGAAACCAAGCTTCCAGGCGCTGTTCTGGAGGGAGGGTGGTGTGAAACCGCAGGAAGCCCTAGTGGTTGGTACCATCCCGAGATTGTGCCAGAGCCCAAGCTGGACGAGAGCAGCCTCAAGTGCGGCTCCAGGCTGTGTTCACCCGGCTCTGCATTGGGCTTGTGGGAAGAAGCGTGGTTTTAACACATTCCTTCATTAAAAGCTCTTGGTCTCCAGAATTCTTTTAACGGTGACTTACTCTAGAAGGTTTCCTAGGGGTTTGCTCTTCTCTGTTACATGCGTTGCATATGATTGTATGTGCTTTGTTAGCCATAGTGGTACAAGATTCAAATTTTGGGGGCCCTCTGGGTGGCTCACTCAATTGAGCACCTGGCTCTTGAGTTTAGCTCAGGATCCCGGGGCCATAGGATCGAGCCCCTTGTTGGGCTTCACGCTGAGGGTGGAGCCTGCTTAAGATTCTCTCTCTCTCTCTTTCTCTCCCCCCAGCTTGCATGTTCTCTCCCTCAAAAAAGATTTTTATTTGTGAATTTGAATAAATGCAAGAAAGCTGCTTCCTGGGAAGCGTTGGGATAAATGACACTGTCTCCCTCTGGTCTGTGTGAGTGTTCGGCTGTCTCAGGTGGAGCGGGAAGGGACCCAGAGGCACCGACAGCGCTTGCCCACCTGGCTGTGTGCACAACAGCCACTCACTACCTCCTCGTGGGCTGTGGGCAACCAGCCGGCCCAGTGCTTAGCCTCTTCTTGTGAAAGCCTCCTTTGTCCTTAGAAACCACTGAGGCAGAGCTGAGCTACCGCACGCACGAGATTTTGCACCAAAACAGCTAATTGCCTTGCTCCCGTGATCCCAAGTCCTCTGGGGTCATCTGAACTGACGCCCCCGGTCACGGCTTCGGCTGAGTCCCGTGGGTTGTTTGCCTTCTCGGCTTGCAGACGCGGGCATCCTTACCTGTGTCGGGTGTGGTCCCCACAGGGACCACAGGGAAGGTGAGGGAGGAAGAGTGAGTGGGCCTGCACGGAGACCTCCTGTTGGTGCTCCGACCACACCCCGTTATCCACCCCTTCCGAGTTTCTTCAGAATCTTGAACAGGTTTTCCTAGCTTGCACCTCAGCATCTCCTAAGAGGAGGGCAGCGAGGGTGCGGAGGAGGATCCCGCGGCCAGAGCCTGGCGGGGCTGCTGGATTGCAGAGTGGCCGCCGTCAGCCAGGAGGCAGGTCTCTAAGGCCGGCATGCTACTTTTTTAAATGTTTCATCTGCTTGCAGAAAAAAGCTTCACGCTGGTAACTGTGGCGGGTCACCTAGGGCGTGTAGTAGGATTTGAGTTGGAAAGCACCCTGCCCTCCCTGGGCTGCTTTTCTTCACATGACCACGTGGCACTTCCCAAGAGTGGCCTCGGTCCAGGCCGGAGAATTCGCAGAAGACCCAGGAGCCCTGGGGACAGAAGATGGGCTGTGGTGGAGACCAGGATCTGGGTGTGAGCCTGCCCTATCCTGGTTCCCACTGTGGATCTCACCTCGACGGGTTTAACAGGCCAGATCCCCGAGGTGTCCTACTAAGTGACAGGCAGCGTATGAATGTGGGTCCACGTCTCAGGATTTTCCTCCCTGGGACTGCACCACATGCTGCGGCCTGTGCACTCAGTGCTGCACTTGTCAGGGACGGCCCGCCTCTTCACCAACGGGCTGAGGGTTGACAGGCCTCACTCTTCATCCCATTTGCTGTCAGAATGGGCCTGGGCCAGGGTGGGGTCAGGTGACCCCAGGTGACCTGCTTTGGGAAAATGGCAACTTGAGTCAGATGCACTCAAGTCACCGTGGAGGAGTCACAAAAAACCTGTCTGCATGGCAGTCTGGCACACTTTCTCGGTGCCACAGTTTCTGCTGTCTGCTCCCCCGGACCCCGTTTCTGGCCTTGGTGGTTCCCCTGACCCCTGCCACGATTCCCATGTGAAGCAGATGTGACGGGATGAACCATCCCCAGAATGAGCGTGGGAAGTAAACCAAGAGGAACAAGCCTCTTACCAGCAAGATCGCACATCCCCAACAGAGGGTCCCACAAATCCCCGTGGGTTCCCTGGTCTAGCAAAGCAAAGAAACACCTAGCAACCGTGGTGCCTGCCCCTTACGGCTTCCTTAAGTGGTAACTCTGACCCCGAAACACTCAGCCTTTACTGGCTGTCAGGAACCAGTCGCTTCACGGGGGCTGTCGGGGGATCCCCACCAGGAGTGGAGTCTGTAAGCAGTCTCCCTTCTTGGGAGGAGCCCAGGCCCGCCGAGCCCTTGCAAGGGATGTGAGGGATACTGCGGGAGCCTGCCACCACCCCAGCCAGGCGGTCAAGCACAGGACGGGTGGTGTTCTACCAGAAATTATCCAAGAAGCAGTCTTGTTCTCTGAGTTGACTGGTGCACTGCCAAACACCGTCCACCTCTCTAGAACCAGGGGCCACCACCCCTTAGTGAGCAGACGCTGTGTCTTCCAAGAGCAAGTCAGGCTGGGGACAGGAGCCCATCTCCCCGGTTCACCTTGGCTTCCAGCATATTTGGCAGCGGCCAGGCCTCTGGTGTCCCCTGGGTCCTCCACCCTGTGCTTGGCCTGGCTGAGCCCTGGCTGCCACCCCCTGGCCAGCCTGAGGTGGTCCTGTGCCCCCTCTTCTGCAGTTAGGCTGAGGGGCCGAGCTTCAGAAGGAGGAGGTGTGGCAGCCCCCGCTGCCTGTCCGGCTCCCACCACCCGGCTTTGGGCCTCAGCCAGGGCCGAAGTGCTGGGAGCTCTGTCTGTACCAGGACTGGAAATGGAGGTGGGGGAGGAGGCAGGGAAGAAATACAAGGGAAGATGTTTCAGTTCTCCCTCTTGGCCTCTATTTTAGGATTACAGGGTTTCAAAGCATTTATTTTTATTGGAATTTCAAATCAAAACATCGAAGTAATAGTCTCCATCCCAAATGAGGTACAGACATGTCACAATAGCAAGAAGAACCCGGTACCCCAAGTATAGGAACCAGAAATAGTAAACTGCATCCCTAACCTTCCACCATCCCTTTAAAATGAAGAACAGAGCTCCAAAAGAGAGGCTTCAGACAGATGTTTCCAGTGCGTTCTGGCTTTCTTCCCTGGCCTGCCTGGTTCAGTGTGGACACTTGGCAAAGGGTGAGTGCAGGCTGTGCCTCCGCCTGGGTTGGAGCCGTGGGGAGCCGCGTGGGGCGGCCCATCTCACAGTGCCTGCCTCGGCCTCAGTCGGCCTCACCGAAGACACCTGAAACCCACCGGGCAGCTGGAAAGCAAAAGCTGAGTGAGCTGTGATCAAGGGCCAGTGCTTTTAGAGCTCTATGTTCTGGGCCAACCACTTGCTCATTCAGTAGATGAGCGGCCGGGTAGGAGTAGGAGGGGCATGAAGGGGGTCTGCCCACCCCTTCAGCAGGGCAGACCTACACTGGTGAGTGAGTAGTCTGTCCCAACAGGCCTCCTGCTTGACAGATCTCTGGGCACCCCAGGCCTGTGGCCTCTGCTAGCCAGCCTGCTTGGGGTGACAGGGCCCACCGCACCCCATTCCTGAGAAGTAAGAGAGGGGCTGCTGCAGCTGTCACAGGCAGGTGACAAAGTGCAGTTGCTTTGGGGTTAGATGGTCCATTGGAGTGCCCTCTCCTCAGGACACCTTGGGCCGAACCGGCTCCTGCTACAGAGGGGGAGGTGGGGGGGCTTCAGTGCGGGGTGGGGGCGGGGTGCCCAGCTATGGTAAAGACTCCATACCTAAGGGACCCTAGACTTCTGGAGCCCCTTCAGCCCAAGGTCGGGGCTGGGGGGGTAGAGAGAAGCCTGAGGGAGGTGTGGGTTTAAAGGGCTGTCTGGACCTCCCAGGGTGGTGCCCGAGGCCAAGCTCAGCGGGGAGGGCATGAACTCATGGCCCCCGCCCCAGGCCACTGTCCTGAGGACAATGACCTGGGCCTTCCCTGGCTGGGCCCTGGGGGTTTACAGGGTGGAATGGGAGGAGAGGCGGATCCGGGCTATTCATAGGCGGGGGTTTTATAGATCTTTTCCCACCCTTTGGTGCTGTCTGGGAGATTGATCGGCTAATAAGGCATTTCTGTTCCAGTCCAGAGGGTGTGAAAAAAGAAGGAGGCGGCCATCAGCCGAGCTCGGGGGCGGAAGGAAACTCCTGTAAAACTAGACGTTCCCAGGACCAGCACTGGTAGCTGAGAGCCTCCTGCCAGGATGGCGGGTGGGGATCGGGCACCCTGGTGTCGGAGCACGGGTGCAGAGGACCTGCCGGAGCAGCCCACGCTTGGGAGCCGGGCCTGGGAAGGGCTGGTGATAGCAACAAGACCGGCGTGTGGGTGCGTGTGCGTGTGCGTGTGCGCGCGCGCGCGCATGCGTGATGCAAAGCAGAACGCAGAAATGCAAGTAAAAGCCTCTCCGGCCGCAGATTTCCATCTGTCCCACACAGAGCACGTGACACTGCCCTGGTGGAGATAAAATGAGCCCAGGGCTTTGGCTCCTCAGCCTCCAGGACTGGGAAGGGACGGAGAACTCTCAAAAGGCTCGTCCCGCCACCTGCCCCAGCTCCCTGAGTCACTTCCGACGGCTCTGCCACTTTACTCCGCTGTCACACTGAGGGGGTGCAGGATGCCGCGGTTTCTCTTTTCTTAAGCCTCCTTGTGCTCCTTCTGCCGGCCTATGGCGGTGGCTCCTCTGCCAGAGCCCAGCCCAGGAGGCGTTCCTGTCTGTGGGCTGTGCGGGAGGTGCCGGAACCGCATGTGGTTGGGCCCTGGCAGTACTGCCAAGAGCCCCGTGTTCCAGAAAGTTCTTTTCCGTTCTAACAGTCTTCCCTTGTTGCACCGGGTCTGG